GTTGAACGACTCGGAGCACGCGACAGATAACAGTAATATCTTTACGGCTGCACCGATCGACGATATCGTCAAGTCGACATTCGGTGGCGTTAAACAAGCGACGAGAAAGAAGCTCAACGCGTCAAACGTTAAGTTTTTACAATCTCTGGGATTCGCGGTGCAAAACATCTGAACGATGACTGAAATTCTCAACATCAGAAGCGAGCCGGTCTTTAACGATCTCATCGTCAAGATCGAGACTCACACGTACAACCTGTACGCCAACACAACGTTTAATTATAGCGACAAGATACGAATACTCATACAACAGCAGGATCTGTATACGTTGCCGTGCGAAAGTTTTCTCTACGTCGAAGAAACATTGACGGTGACCAGAGCAGCCGACCAAGTCGATAATGTGGTATTGGGTACTAATTGCGTCGCGTTCATGTTCGTTCGATACGAGCTCGACGGTATGGAGATTGATCGTTGCAGAAACGTAGGAATAACCAGCACGCTCAAGAACTACGTTACGGTATCGTCTGACAGAAGCGTGATCCTGCGAAACGCGGGCTGGGAACCACATAATAATCCGAACGGATATTTCAATTTTTGCGTACCGCTCAACTTGTTACTGGGATTTTACGAGGATTACAAACGCGTGGTGATCAACGCTCGTCACGAATTGATCTTGATACGAGCGCGCAACAACAATTCCCTGGTGGGAAGTCTCGCGTTGGAGCCTACTATCAAAATACTCAAGATACAATGGCGAATGCCTCACGTGGTTATTGAACGAGATCAACAAGCTGTCGATGCTGCGCGCCTTGGAAGACAGACGATATCTAAGTATGGTTTTCCGTTCGTGGGATCTGTACGAGTATCCTTTGTTGCAGAACGCGATCAAGCACTCGTGGGCCATTAAGACCGCGACTCAGCTCGAGAAACCGCGATACGTCGTCTTCGCTCTGCAGACGGGTCGGAAAAATGTCATGTCCGCCGACACAAGCCGATTCGACGACTGCAACTTGACCAACGTAAAACTTTATCTAAACTCGGAAGTTTGTCCGTACGACGATCTGAATTTGGACTTTGGCAAACACAGATGGGCGATTCTGTACGATATGTACGCGCGTTTCTGCAAGTGCTACTACGGATACGAATATCTCGAGCCGAGTCTCATCGTTTCGACTTTTCTACGTAACGGCCCGTTCGTGATCATCGATTGCTCCCGCCAAAACGAATCCGTCAAAAACGCCACCGTGGATGTCAGAATAGAATTCGACTGCATGGAGAACGTACCGCCGAATACCTCCGAGTACTGTCTCATCATACACGACCGCGTGATTGAGTACAACCCGTTGACGAACGTGGTGCGCAAAATAGTCTGAGTGTTCGCGGCAACGTCGACGTGAATATTATTTTCTCTCTCTTTCTTCCCATCACTCTCCGATACAATTATTTAGAGGGGCAAAGGAGGGAGGGAAAAGTATAAATCAGAGTGTCGCGAGACGGTATGCAGAGTTGCGCGTCATTCCTCTCGATGGACGCATCGACGAGAGAGATAGAGAGATAAAGAAATCTCGTCATGTCCGTACCAACGTTCGTAGACCTGCAAGGATTCCTCGTCGGGATGAAATTTGTCATAAAAAAGGTGGCGGTACTGAGAAAAGGCTGCGTTCTGACGCATCACATCTTTACGTACCCCATGCCGTGGAATCTCCTTACAAAAGCCGACAAATCGTGCGCTATCTGGTTGATTCGCAATCACCATGGATTACGATGGGAAGACGGAAACGTGCCGTACAGCATGGTGAAACGCCTGATTACATCGGCCGTGCTTGGTGTGGAAAAAGACGAAGAAGACGATGACGACGAGATGCCGACTATTGTGTACGTCAAGGGATGCCAGAAACCAGAATGGCTGGTAGATCTGCTGGAGAATTATGCGCCAAAAAAGAACCTAATCGTCGAGACTCTGGATGCGCATTACGATAATATCAAACCTTTGAATAAACTAGAAGGCACCAATACTATGCGATGTGGAAAACATGAAAAGAATTGCGCGTTACAAAATGTAATAAAACTATTTAATTGGTGGTCGCGCGCGACGCCATAAAGATTTGCGATCTTTTTTTTAATAAATAAATTATATATAACTTTTTTATAATGTTTTCTTTCTTACTCTCCTTCCCTTCCCCCATCATCACCGTTAGAGAAGGCTTTACTTTCTTCTCTGCTAAAAAATCCACTGCGCAGTTCTATAAACATTAATTCCCCCCCCCCCCTCCCCCCCCCGTAATCCGATACCCCTGTGTAACCCGATACCCCGCCCCCTCTCCCCCTCACCCACCCGCGTAATTCGATATCCCTGTGTAACCCGATACTCCGCCCCTCCCCTTCCCCCTCCCGCTCACCAGCCCGCGTAATCCGATACCCCCCTCTCTCGGAGCCCCCGGGACAGAAACGGCCTATTATACCTACTATTCGAATCCTTCCTCTATACTCCACGATCTTGTGTCGAGGAAGCGTTGAGTGAGTCGAGATATTAATATAACACAAACGTCGAGTGAGATATCCTCTTCTCCGCTTAATCGCAATTAAGCGTCGAGCGACATCTCCTCCGCTTTATTGCAACCATCGCAGATCAAGATGGAGACCGCTGCTCCCTCCAGACCGGGAGCCCCCTCCGGGCCCGGCCGTGTAGAAGTGGAGGCGCCGAGCGGCTCCACTCCAGCAGCCACTAAGAGAAAGAGATATAGGACAAGGCCGAAGAGCCGACGCAGGGGGAAGCCCCTCCTCAACCAGCCAGCGCCGCAGGAGCGGTGCGAGAAGAGATCCGAGCCCCTCAAGAGACCAGTGCATGGCCCGCCAGCAACGCAGAAGCGGAGCAAAAAGAGGCGGGAGCCCTCCACGGGCCACAGGTTGCTTCCGTGGAAGCTCATACCTCTAGAGCTCCCGGAGGTGCGCCTCATCAGGCCCGCTGGACTATTGTTGGCCAAACGAGATTGCTGCATCTCTCGACCACCGGCCCTCCATTTGATACGGATAAGGCAAACCCGGACAACGGCTTGCCAGACTGTGTGCACACGAGCCTTCCTGGCCCCTGGATCGCCAGTTGACCCACCGGACCAGCCAACGGATTAGCTGCCTCTCACTCCGGGCCGTTCGATAGATCCCAACAATAACGAGGAGCCATCCAAGCACCCCCTTGTAAATAAAGCCGTCCACAATATCAAATTTTGAATAGTACATCCAGTACATATATTTTTGAAGTAAAACTTCTTTAGGCACGGTAGTAAGTTCGATTCGCGACACGAAAAAGTGTAACGGAAGTGAAACTTCTTTGGTACGGTAGTAAGTTCGATTGTGCGACACGAAAAGTGTAACGAAAATTTGACAAATAGGCTTACGGCGTTGGCGAGACGATTCTTCTTCTGGCACGGTAGTAAGTTCGATTATGCGACACGAAAAGTGTAACGAAAATTCGACCAATAGGCGTACAAAATTAAACTTTTTTAGTACGGTAGTAAGTTCGATTGTGCGACACGGAAAGTGTAATGAAAATTCGACCAATAGGCGTACGAAATGAAACTTCTTTGGTACGGTAGTAAGTTCGATTGTGCGATACGAAAAGTGTAACGAAAATTTGACCAATAGGCGTACGGCGTTGGCGAGACGGATGTTCTTCTGGCACGGTAGTAAGTTCAATTATGAGACACAAAAAGTGTAACGAAAATTCGACCAATAGGCGTACGAAATGAAACTTCTTTAGTACGGTAGTAAGTTCGATTGTGCGACACTAAAAAACGTCACGAAATAGTGTCACGAAAATTCGACCAACAGGCGTACAAAGTGAAACTCTTTTTGGATCGATAAGTAAATTCGATTTTGCGACTCGAAAACGCGTCACGAAAATTCGATCAGGCGTACGGCACTGGCGAGACGGATATAGTGAGAACTGCGTGTAACACTATATTTTCGAGTTGCGGGCGGCTTGGAGTGACTAATTCCGTTGCATTGTTTTTGTATTAATTTCAGAAAAGTTATGGCAAAGCCTTGCCTTCAGAAGTTTCACTTCTAACGCGCGTGGCGACCACGCGTTCATTTTTTTTTATTAGGCGCCTTCTGGACGCCGCCTAAGATAATACAAACATAATGTATATATAGAAGTAGAAGAATATATTGTTTTGTTACCAAATCCTGTCTCGATAATTCAACGTCACCGCCCCAATCCCTATTGCGACTCCACTGTATCGAACAATATTAAAAATATGACAAAATTTAAAATATCTCAGGAAATCCTTAACGAAAGAAAGCTTTATTATAGTGTTTTGAGAACGTCTCTACGAGATCTACAACTTTTATCTTAAGAAAAAATCAAGTTTTATTTATAAAATTTGTTGTGCCCATAGCCGTGAAGGAGGGACTTTGTCGGGATGTAGGCTCTCAAAGAATTAGGATCCACGCACTAATAAACGACACTCCGTACTTTACAGTAAAAGAGGATGTATTTATTGCTCTCACTTTATTACAAGAAGTTTAAATTATTGTAGTAACTTAAGTCAACATGCGTTAAGTAGGATGCGCGGTTACTCTCAGAAGCGATCTGTTTGATCCTGTCGCTACTGACATATATATTAATTTCATTAAGGCGGAAGGAGGAGTAACCCTGATCGGAGCACGTACGCTGCTCCGTGTGATTCCGTCGCTGTCTCAGCATTCTGGGAACAGAACTGTGACTTGCTTTCTTTTCGTCACGTTCCTCTTTAATAATTTAATAATTTTAATTGTCTCGTTTTATATTAGTATTTTCTATTTTAATCACGTATTGATTTATTAAGCATGTTCTTATTCCCGAAGGCTGGTTGGGCTACGTCAAATTAGTCTTTTTTAAAATTTCTTGAAAATGATGACATGTATGACACGACTTACATTGAAATCATATGTCTTCCTTCAAATCAAACAACTTTCGTCTAAAGCATTTTTTCTAGAATCATGATTAAGAAAGTTTTTAGAGGTGATTGATTAAATGGGGACACTCTATATATATTATATGTATGTATATATCTTCCTGAAGTAACGTGGCTGTGTAGAACGCGATTAAAGTCAGATCGCCTATTTCAGTAAAGACGCGAACGTATGCCAGCAATACTTTGTCTTCCACTTTATCTTCTATGTACTTTTCCTGATCTGCCTGAAGAACAGTATTAGATGCGCCAGGAATCTGAGGAACTGTGAGTCGCAAGCGCCGATATCAATCATACTTTCAATCTCTTCCATCAACTTCGGTATTTGATCTAATATTATATATTTTTGAATTAAATGATCGGGTTTGTTAGATTGGGCACGTATTACTGGATTTTTCAACATGTGCAATTCTTTGAAAGCGTCTTCCAACGAAGTTTTATTTTTCCAATATTCCTCCGGCATAATTGTATATATTTTCATCATCATTAACCTCAGTGCTGATTCGACTTTGATATCTAGAAGGCTCTTCACATATACCCACAATGCATCTTACCAAGACCCAAGCGCATAATTTCCAAAGACTTCTGTTAGGATTCTCTTTGATTGGTAATTTAGTGTCTGTCAATGGATTACTGTAATTTGGATCGTGATTAGGAATCCATCCTAATAAACATGCGGCTCTCCAAGGTTGGCCACAGTGCATAGCCAGTGCTTGTGCTTTCTGAAGACGTCCACAACGTACCTATGAAAGATCTTAATCTGTTGGTCGTCCAACTAACTTCCTTGTGTCGCCAACGCTGTGGATCTTCCCTGTTACAAATTTCTCTTCTTTTTCTTTTGCTCCACAAGGGAACGGTTGGAAGTGTTCCTCACCGATTTGGATGGGCTTTGGATATGTTGTAAAGCATCAAAAATATTAGACACGTATTTTCTTTTTAGCGGCTTATCTCGACGTTTAGGGGTTGAAACAACCTCTCGAAAATAACGGATTTTATAGTTTTTAGCGAATCTTTGAAAATATAAGGCGTAATTTAGCCACGGTTCATTTGGGCACCGTTCATTTGGACACGATCAATTGAACACCGTTTATTTGGACACGGTTCATTTGGACACCGTTCATTTGGATACCGTTCATTTGGACACGATCAATTGGACACCATTTATTTGGACACGGTTCAATTGGACACGGTTTGTTTACACACCGTGTATTTAAACACGGTTTATTTGGACACGGATCATCTGGACACCGTAATAAATACGGCCTGTGCAGTTGGACACCGTAAAAAATGCGATCTGTGCAGTTGGACACCAAAATACGCGACCTGTGCAGTTGGACAACAGAATGCGCGGTCTGTACAGTTGGACACCAAAATGCGCGATCTATGCAGATGGACACAAAAATGCGCGGCCTGTGCAGTTG